ACGAAGATGGCCCAGAGTAGCACGCTTGCAACAGCCGGCATAGGACGGATGGTTATGCGGGCAGCGTCTCCGCTTTCCTGAATAGCAGGAGGACGTCCAGATTCTGGCCGTTCCCATGCAGGGAGAACCTAGCTGGTCAGCTTCGCTTTCAACGTCGGTACGACTGCTGATCGATCAGGGTTTATATCAATTTCATATCTGATTTTATACATATATGTCAGACTCGGGCTATTAGATTAGCATCCTGGTGTGTGGCAAAGCTGTGAATTGCAGGCCGCAACACGTGCGGCAAGCTATATCTAACGAAAACAAAGGTAAAGCGCGATTTATATTAGGTTCCAACCGCGGAAAAAAACGCGTCACTGGACCACCATCACTCGCGGTGTGGAGAATTATTAGGATATTTTGAACGTTTCGTGGCTACACGGGGATCAAACATTATCATTATTATGCCTTTGAATGTTGTAAATTGTCCCGTAAATAGCCCGGGTCGTCGTCACAACTTTCAAAAACACGAAAGATCCCCATTTCCCATCCATTTATCTCAAAGATAGGAATAGTTGATAAATCAAAGGTATATACATTCAGCTCTCATTTCGCTGCATGTCGTAAATGTATGTCTGTCTAAACCAACCCGAAATCAGCTTGAACTCGAAGCCATCAGTCACTAAGGAATTTTTCGTAACTTCATGTACGAGCGTTTACATGCGGAGACATTTACCTACCACCTGTAAATAGTGCGCGATTATTTTCAGCTAGGATTGAGCCCAACATGGACTAACAGCGTTCAGCGTGGTAACAACAGGCAAGTTTCGTGCTATGGCCAAGTGGAAACGCTTAGCTTCCAGCTGGCAGAGTACACTAAATATACATATTGGTGCAGCGCTAAGCAGGGCTGCGGAGTCGATGGATGTTAGGGTGACTCCGACTCCGACTCCGACACCGGCTTCAAAAATCGTTTCCGACTCCGGACGGTTCTATTGAAAAATTCATATCAAGATAGGTATTGAAGTTCATAACGGAGATGTTTTTACCTTGCCTGAAACGATACCTAGTGCATTCCAAGGCTTTGCGTTGCAAATATGTATTAAAATAGCGTACACAATTAAAAAGCAGGTTCTGGGGAATTCACCGTCTTCTGCTTCCCTCGCTGAAGACGTTCGTCCAAAACAGCAATTTTTTCGACAAAATCTAATTTCGAGCGCAGTATCGTCAAACAAACAGATTCAGTGCATGACGTTGAGCCATGCAGCATTAACTCCGACTCCGGAGTCGGAGTCGGTAAGATTTGGGCGGCTCCGACTCCGACTCCAACTCCGGGAAGAACTGTCGACTCCGACCGACTCCAACTCCAACTCCGACTCCACAGCACTTGTGCTAAGTGCGCAGAGGTTTCAAAGTCGAGCGACATTGCAAACATTTGTGCTATGGTTATGTTATAGAGATGTACCTAAGTGCCATAATTTTTCTGGTGCATTTGTTTAGGGGCTTTTGGCATAGACCAGTTGAAAAGAGTTTACATCAGTCCTCAGCGCTTAGTTCTGTGTTTTTTCTCCTCATATGAGGCAGGGGAGACTGGGGCGATGCGTTACACTTTTTGGTCTTCTGCACTTAGTGGCCAAGCTATTCAATGACATTGCACCAAATTTGGTCACATGCTAGCTGAATCAATTTGGAAAGCACATGCAAACTTTCACTTCTTTACGACTATTCACTTTTATGTGAAATTCAGAAAACCAAAGCAAGATTTTTGGGGTAAGTTGAAAAATTGTGGGGCAACTTGATACACGATATGGGGTAACATGTTACACTTCTTTTTTCGTAGTTTCTTCATCATTATAACAGTCATTGCCCGTCCTATCGGAACCGATCGTAAGCCTCCCTAATGGATAATACTAAACATGCTTTCCTTTCTCATTGAAAGGCAAGAACAATAAAGCATAAACCATTACTGTACTCCACACGCATGAAAAGGCTCATCAAACATGGCTCAAGCTCTGATTTGCCTTTACTGCGACGCCATGGGCACAATGCATTGCCATACTGACCGGAGTTTGATTTTCTGCACAAAATTTACGCCCAGGTGAAATGGAGCACGCTATAAGCAGTCTTGGGTAGCCATCTTTAAACATGCCCCGGCCCTGCGGCGGCCGAATTTCTCAAGACTGAACTCAAATGTTTGTTTACATGAAGAGGCTAGCGCGTTTTACTTGGTGATCTTACAAAAGAAATCATCGCTTAATTTTGTGAACATACATTCAGCATTCTTACACAAATAACCTTGACAAAAAACGACCCAAAGTGTTGGCCAGCAAAAAATACTTTTGCTGTCACAACTTACCCCAGTGCGCCTACAGGGCGACATGGCGTTCCACCAGGTCTGAGCCTGCAGTGACATGTAAAATGTGCGTAACCCTTCTGCTAGCGTAAATATTGGCGCCATATCAAGAGTATTTTTAAAGATATTTCCTTTGTAACAACTTACCCCTGTAACAGCTAGCCCCACTCTCCCCCATACATTGTTTGCTTGTACACATGCATAACGTACAGTGTGTCTAAAAAGAATGTACCGTCGCCACTACGTGGCGCTGGTGTCGCGAGCCGGTAGTTGGCTGAATCCGCACCAGACCACACATTCCCAGGCGCTAGGTGACAGCTGCGCAGCGGCCGGTAGTAGCGTAAGCCCGAACCTTCGTGACACGACCCCGGGGGGGGGGGGAGGGAGGGGAGCGGGCGGGGCAGCGCGTGTAGGGAGGGGTGCTCCAGCAAGCTGGCAGTTGTCGCGGCCAAAGGTCAAGGGGTCACACACCAAGCGAACGGACGCTGATGTGGGTTCGTGGGGATCATGAACTTGTGTGTGGTAGGTGCGTCTTGCGATGCACGAGTGATACGCCAGGTCTAAGCCAAAGGATTCAGGGGAGAGCTGAAGAAAACACCTGGTCAACTATGGCGAATAATAATGCTGAAAAATGGAAAGTATGGGTCAATGCAAGCCTTCATGACTATAAACAACTTTCTGAGGACGCAAAGGCCAGCATTGAATAACGATATCCGGATCGAAATTAGCAATGATTTATAACCGAAGGTTTGTTGTCAATAGTTAAAACACTATTCTTTAGAATTGTGTTTTTCTATTGAAAAACAAATCTGAGTTCCCTGACAATTTGGCAAAAGCTGCCTGAGATCAGTACAACTTGATGCTCTTGAAAACGGCCGTTCCAAAAAATCTATTTTTTTCAGGATTTCTAGTGGGCCTAGTTAAAACACTATTCTTTAGAATTGTGTTTTTCTATTGAAAAACAAATCTGAGTTCCCTGACAATAACCGCAGGTTGTTGTTTCATTGGACAAACACTATTCGTTAGAATTGTGTTTTTCTATTGAAAAACAACCGGAGCGGTCGTTCTCCGGGCTATGTTTTGCAAAGTTGGCCGCGAATCAGTACAACTTATTCCAACCCCCAACGTCCCTCGGCATTTAGAAAACCTGAAGGTCCGGTGAGGGTTAAAACGTTTCTCCTGAACGAGGAAGAAATGTAAAAGTCAAAGCTCTATAGACGTCCTGTAAAAGTGGCCACAATAATAAATTCGTTAGAAATAAGATGCTTTTCAAACGACTTCCTCATATAAAATCGGGTGCTGGGACCAATCTTATAAACGCTTTAGAATGGACAGGGCGTCACTGGCTAAAGTTTGGGTGCAGAAAACGGCTATTACCTAAATGCAAAATGGTTTTCATGCATTTCAGTCAATTGTATATTGTCGGTCCCAGTGGCCGAGCTAAAAAAAAAATCGGTAGTGTTTTGCATCTTTTACGCCCTAAGAAACTACACCATCTATCGAAGTGGGCGGGCTTATTTGAATGGGAGGGCGCATTATGCACGAATCGAGTGCTTTCGTTTATTTTGGACTGTATTTTACCACATCCACTGCTGGTATCACTATTAATATTATCTAATGCCGTGAATACGACAGCATTCCATTTATAAGATTGGGCCAATGGAGTCGCGCCCCGCGAGCTCGGTTTTCCGCTGGGCCGCTACAGGCCAGGAAGTCGGTCTTCGCCTGAGGGCAGGACAAAGGTCAGCGAGGGAGCGCGGGGTCAGCCAGGTATCGCCAAGTGCCGAGCGGATGCCGCTCCCTCCCCTCTCTTCCCCTCTTCTCCCCTCCCCACCTCGGTATAGATGGGGAGGGACCGAACTGCCAATGACATGCGAGCGGTCAAGGCCGCTCGCGCGGCAGCGACCCTGGCGGCCGGATGCCGCAACTGGGATTCAGCCAAGTTACCGATTCGCCTCCTGTGGGAGAGCCAAACCAGGGGACATACTTTTTAGATATACTGTACGGTACTAGGTGAAACAGAGTTATAGTTCTTATGTCTCTCAGTAAATAACAAATTCCCACCGTGTTGCTATTCAGCGGTACATAACGGTAGTGGTCAGTACACGCCTAGTTTAGCAATGACGGCGCACATACTTTAGCCTGGTTTCCGGCCCCTCCTGAACCAGTCGGCGCTCAAAAACTGGTAGAATCGGCCGGTTTGGCCGGCGCTGACCGGGTCTGGTTAGCGTTGCGGTGCGGGGATCAGTCGTCACCGTTTGGGGACTCAGTCGATCAGTGACCCGGCCGGCCGGTGGAGGGGGGCGGCAGTGGGTTCGGCGCCGGTCAGGGGGTTACAGTGGCTTCCGGCGCCACCGCTGCGGCTGCTGCTGCTGCTGCTGCCGCTGTCTGACTGCCGCTGCTGCTATTGTCTGCTGCTCTCTACTGCTGGTGCTGCTTTCGTCTGCTGGTCTTGCTGCCGCTGCATTACTGCTGTGACGCTGTCTGCTGCTGCTGCTGCTGCTGTTTCTGTCTGCAATCGAGTGAATTTACACCGTCAGACTTACTCCCGACATTGCCCTCATCTTAGACTTCATGTCATTTCTGGTTATTTGCCCATAGCGTTACTTTTACTGCAGATTGCGTCCCGGCCCTGTGATAGATCTATCCATTGTCTCCCGCAATGGAGGTCCCTGACGTGGTGAGCTCGTCACCTTCTTCGTTCAGCAGCCTGGCCACCGCCTGGGGCCTGCTGCGCTGCATCCTGTCGTCCTGTTCGTCAGGGGAGCCCCGCATAGCGCCGCCGCCGCCCGAGGCCGAGATGTGGGCCGAGCTGAGATTCTCGCGGTTCCTCGCCGGCGACTCTGAGGACGGAGACGTCAACAACAAGACGCCGCCGGACTGGCTGGACACCAAGAAGTTGAAGCGCGCCCGCGAGCTGCACCTGCAGTACTGGCCGCTGATGAACAACGCCCAGGTGATGTCGCTCTTCCTGTCGTTCGCCTTCTTTGAGAACACCAAGCCGCTGCTGTACACTGGACGGTCGGACACACCGCCGCGCGCCCGGCGCCGCTACCTGGAGACGGCCCTGCACGTGCACACCTGGGCGCTGGGCGACATCTGGAAGCCCGGCGACCCGGCGTACCGCAGCGCCGACATAGTGCGCGGCATGCACCGGGCCGTGGGCTCGCTGCTCAGCGCCCGCGACCTGTCCCGGATCGCCTACCCGGGCCAGCTGCCGCCCAAGGTGCGTACCTGCGGACTGGCGCCCGCTCCAGAGGAGGGCAGCGGCGGCGGCGAGGCTGAGGAGGAGTCCCCAGTGGAGGAAGAGGAGGAGTCCCCAGTGGAGGTTGAGGAGGAGGAGGTCAGGCCCTCCGAGCGCGGCGGTTTCTGTCCGGGACCGGTGATCTCGCAGCGCGGGATGGCCGCCACACAGTGGTTCTTCGTGGGCCTGATCGTGCTCCACCCGGACAAGTTCGGGCTCGGCCATCTGAGCGACGACGACCTGGAGAGTTTCGTGCACCTGTGGCGCAGCATCGGCCACCGGCTCGGAGTGGCGGAGCGGCACAACCTGTGCGCCGGCTCTCTGGAGCAGGTGCGCGCGCTGATGCGGCTGGTGGAGCGGCAGTACCTGGTGCCGCAGCTGGAGCGGCCGCAGGACGACTGGGAGGCCATGAGTCTAGCGCTGTACGACGGCCTCGGGGAGGTGTTCTCCATGTGCCGCTACAGCGTGTGGCGCTACTACCTACTGCATGATGTGCTGGAGGTGGAGACCGCCGACGCGTACCGGTCGCTGGGGTGGCGCGACTACTGGCGCTACCTCTTTCTGCGGGGCATCTATCGGCTGGCCAACCAGGATCAGCAGGTCCACACCAGCATTCGCAACACGGCGAAAGACGAGTTCAAGAAGGGTGCCGAGGCGGAGAACTTTTCGAAACAGCTAATGTATGTGTTTGACATAATCTAGCCATCTGAGAGGCTGTATGTGCATTTGTGCAGGCTATGTGAATATTCAAGTAGTTTGCTATAGTAGACCTCGCTGCGTTTTTATGCTCTTATAGTGTCAATCTGTGATTGAAAAGCAGGGCTAACCCGCAGGCTGTCCGAGTCCCGCTCGTGTCTTTATTTGATCAGATGGGTGGGGGCTGCGGATGTCTTTTCCTCTATTGATCATCTTTGTCATCTTATGCCAAGTGTTCATCCACCCGAGCCAGTACTTCAGCGGAATGGTCTCTTCCTCGCTCTGCCTATACTCCGCTCATCTGTTGTTATCATTGCTGAATTGTTGTTATGTTCCATACTCGTGTCACAAACTCGGCATGCTCGCGTTCACTTGCTATCGCTACCTATCGTTTGTGCTATCAAAGGACATTTGATTTGTTCAAATAAACTGTTACATTGCGGGGCCGATGTTCATGTATCTCAAATGCCGCAGAACGTGCGAGGCATGACTATTTTATGCCGACTGCCATGTGCGACTTTCTGTGACGTAGCCTGACCTAGTTTTTACCTTTCAAACATGGCACGATAGAAGATTCCAGCATGAGCCATAACATGATAATTTGGCTCGGTATTAACAAAGAATATTCATTACTTCAACCGTCTTCACCTGTCCCCACACATTTATTATTTTCTTAGACAAACTTAGGCCGCTCATACTCAGAATTTTCCGTTAATCTACAAAAGACTACGCTCGCTTCGCTCGCTCCGTAAAATATAGTTGTACGCCAAATTCTGCATAGGGTAAGTGGCTCCAATCACGCACACGTCCTAAACACGCACACCAATGACTCTTTTTAATATAGCTGCCCAAGCAGAAGTGTAGAAAGCATAAATCGACCGAAAACGATTTCTGGCAACATTTGTGCCGCGGCGGGCAGTTGTTTCAGCGCTCTCGCATCAAAAGGTAAGTAATGATAGCATGTTTTGTAAAGGAAGTGCTGATTTTTAACGCTGAAAAAGTGCCTGATATAATAATGCGTGTATCGGTGTGCATTAATTTTTTCACGGAACCATAAATATACCGGATAGATTATCAGGCATCAATTTGTGGCCAATAAGTCAGTGTTTTCTTTGATCATACGTGTATTACCTGGAATGCGTCGAGGAAGACAGGAAAGGGCTGAATGTGAAGCGTGCGTGTTTAGGGCAGCTGGTTCTCCAATGACGCACAGGTGCCATGCTGCATAAATGCACATACATCAGATGGATTTTTTAACGTTTCTTTTTAGAGGGAACGGTTTAAATCGCATTACTGTGATACGTTAACATTTGACAGAGTTCTGGAAGATTGATGATCCCCTGCGTTTTGACAAAAAGCCAAGGGATTTAAAATCAGGCCCGGGGGCTCGGACGGTGACTCCAGGGCGGTGTTTCACGGCCGCTAGCAGCGCGCTGCCTGCACACGTGTCAAATTGGGTTTCCACGGAGACCAACAAACTCGTATATCCAACACAGCTGCAAACTGTGACATCAGCTCGTGAAATGCGCTGGCAGTGTGCTGCTATCGGCCGTGAAACACCGCCCTGGCCCGGGGCTCGACCACCGAGATCGGGCCCGGGGACTCGGCTGGAGAGCCCAGGGTCTCGGGTGGTGAGATCGGGCCTGGAGCCTCAGGTGTGAGACCGGGGCCGGGGTCTCGGGGACTGTCGGGCGGTAAGACCGGGCCCGGGGTCTCAGGCGGTGGGACTAGGCCCAGGGTCTCGAGCGGTAGGACCGGACCCAAGGTCTCGGCCGGAGAGACCGAGTCTGGGGCACTTTCAAATAAAGCGATTTGTCCATACTTATTTCGATGATTTTGATCCCCATCCTGTCATCTCTTCCTGTGCGCATTTGAAGCATGTGCATGTGCGTAATAACAGCACTGATGCTCTATAAGCGCACACCGGGAGTTGGTCGACGTTTGGCCTTATATATCATAAATGATAGAAAACCGCTGAAAAGCAAATGCCGGGCTAAACAAAGAAATGTTTAGGACAACTACTGGTACCAACCTTGTCAACATTATAGGCATCAGTAGGCCACACGAGTAGTTTTCCTGTTAGGTGTGCGTGATAAGGGCCACTTACCCTAGTTACAAAGTTTTTTAGCATTTACATGGATATTGCATAGCTATGTTTTTACTGATACATCTCATACAGGAAAATCAATGCAAGCTTATCAAAGCTTTTGCTAATGCATGATTGCCGTTCAACTGTTTTGCATCAAAATCGAACGAACATGATGTTAGTCTGACGACATTTTAGGCCGAATGTTGATCCCCCGCGGGAGGTACGACATGGTCCTTTCTTTATGGTGTAAAACATCGCTGCGAAGGAGGGTTCTGAAAGTTTCGTATCGATTATTACATTGGTAAAGGAAACGTTGCAAGAAACGAAGGAAGACTTTACAAAAAACCGCAGATCAAGCACGGGAATGGGACACTGCTTATAGAATGAAGAGGCAAGACTCACTATGTGAGTTTATGAGCCACTGAGCCATTTGACTGATATGAGTCATTTGAGTGACATAAGAAGGCTTGAAATGATCTCACGCATGTCAAAATGTTTTTATTTTAGGCAAAATTGGCAAAATCAATCTAACTTACTATTTGTGGTGGGTGCGTCTGTCTGTGGTCGAGGTCCCGACTTGGTGGTGCTTTGCGTGGACTACAGGCCAGACCGTTGCACCTAGTAAATATATTTAAACAGTGAAACAAGCCTTCGGCATTACGTCATCATCAAGTTTTGTCAATATTTGTCAATATTATCATCAATATTTGAGTGACGTTTGAAAAGGAACGTAAATGCCCTGTTTGATGCCCTACTTACTTGTATTTATAAAATTGCACATAAATGGGCATATCAGTATGCATTTAACGCAGTTAGCTCGTTACAGTGAAGGAGCAAAAGGAATAAGTCGATAGCCTATATCCTCTACTACGATAAAAATATCAAAGTGAGGGATTAAATATTTATACTGAAGAGCGCAAGCCAACTTTATCTATCATTTACTTTCATGGAACATCTATTAGCGAAAATTATGGCGCCAGCTGGCAGCTGCCATTTCTGACTGGCAACTTGGAGGGTGCCGACTGCTGGGCTTCGATAGCTGGCGGTATACACCGACCGGTGCTGGCGAAGGTGGCGCCCGCGTCGGAGCTTCGTCCCGTCCCGTGCCCCTCGCTCGGACCGAAGTGGGCTTCGGGTGCTCGAGAAAATTGTGACTGCATGTTTCAGACAATGGAGGGCTATATGGAAAACGCATGCAAAGGCTGCTTGGTTCTATGCCCACTAACGTTGGCAGGTCAGCTATACCGGCACCGGGATATGTTCAGTGTTCACCGATCTGGACAAATAGAACTGAGATTCCCACAAATATTGACCTCGAGGGTCCATTGGGATCATAGCTTCATGTGTTTAGGTAGGCATGATTATGTAATGCATTGAGCTTTTGTGTTAAAGGGACCCTCCCACCTTCAAAAAAAAGTTAATGAATTGGCATAAAAGTGATGTCTCTTGGTTCAGAAAGAGCGGAAACGAATATCTACCAAATTTCACCGAAAAATATTCACTGGTTTTCAAGATATTAGGCTTTTACTTTTGTTTACTTTTTGGGATCTCCCCTGTTACTAGCGACTTTATTTGGAAGCAATAATTTGGCAGCCTTAAAATGCGGCAGACGTTGCGCGCAAAGCAGCGTATACCACCACGTGTTCACGATGGTTTTAGTCTAAGATTTAAAAATAGTTAGATCTCCGCTGACGTCACAAATTCTAAGGGGGCATTCCAATGCATTAGCCCCTTAGAATCCGAAAACTGCAAGTTTGAAATTCCATATCTTCGAATTAAAGCATTTTTCGATGTTGTGAGTGCCCAAACCGGTATTTGCAGGCCATGGCCACCAATTTGGCTATCTCAACTCAAAACTAATGTTAAGGTGGGAGGGTCCCTTTAAGAGATCATTTTTTACAGAGATGCAGTGAAAATAATTATCAATACCTACTTGCATGATTTTTAGCCGTAACACAGACTTAAGTTTTGTCTTTCATCCTTCTTGAATTCGATTCACCTACCTGAATATGATTTGTTTTTGTAGCGTGCTGACCTCTGACGGTCATAGGGACTAGGGTGTAGGGACTACCTTAGTCACTCTGACTCCGACTCTGACCTCTGGCTTGTTGCCACGCCTCCGACTCCGAGTTCGATTCCGACTCCGACTCCGACTCCGACTCCGACTCCGACTCCGACTCCGACATCGAAACCCTGGTGCCACGAACGGCTGCAGTGACTGCTGGTCCGGTGGCGACCTCTGTCTGTACACCTCACGCCTGGACTTTCTACAGTAGCGATCAATACAGAGTGAGCTCGTTCCAATGAACTCTATAATGACTTGTTCACCATTCAGCGAATTGCAGCCACTGGAAACCTGCGCGGTGATTTGCTCTGTAGCAGCAAAGAGAAGCTATAATGGCGTTTGTAAAAACTGGCGACTTATCCCGAACCTCCCGTGTGCTGTTAGTTTGTTCGTGTAGCTATGTTATTTCATACGTTGTATGTCGTACAACGTTTCTTTGAGTATGTCTTTTATCAATAGTGGTGCTGTTGAAATGGATTTTCTGTTCATAATTGCGCTTTTGCGAGTTTAGCAATTACCTCTAAAGCAAATACTGGTGAATTAAGCGATAAGGAATGTAGAGAATATGTGTATGTATGTAACGCATGTAATAGGATGTATGTAATATAAGGAATTTAAGGAGAGTATAACATACTCATGCATTTTCTTCGAAGGAGTATTTTGCATTTCGGTGAAAATCATGGTCAAATATTAACGATGCTTTTACATGAAATGTGCCTGTGGTGCGCACTGCGCAGCGATGTCTTTTTTCCGCGTCTCTGCCTGCCAGCTTCCGTTGTATTGTCCACTTGCTTGTGGTGGTTGGGTGAAACGAAGAATAAATAAATAAAGGAATGAATGAATGAATGAATGAATAAATAAATGAATGTCACACATATTAATTTGAAAAGGTCCGTAATATATTTTCGAGCCTGCTTCTTCTTCGGTGGAATGAAAAATGGCTCTCGCAATTATCTGGCTCGAAAATATACTCTGAACTCTTTTTCATCAAATAATGTATTTGATATTATGAGCAAAAGATCAAAAATAACATAACTATTTCACATGAACGATATTCAATAGGCATTCATAATTCCCACTGGACAGGAACCCAGTCGTTAGCTGGATAGGTATAGTTAGGCCAGGATATATCTATAACTAATACATACAGGCCGTTTTCACGACGGAACTTTCGCAGAGGAACTTATTTGATACCTAAAAAGTACCTACCCTTAGAGGCCTTAACATCCCTCAAACTGAAATATTTTATGTTCAAAATAATTTTAGAAGTTTAAATCTGGGCAT